TCTACTACTACCACCGCTACTACGACTACGACTACTCCGACAACTGCTGCTACGACTCCTCCTGCCGCCCTTGTTTCTGATACCGTGCTATGCACGCCAGTCGCGATACTGATAAAGTCAGCAGTGGGCACAGCCAGACCGGTCATCAGTATCGCCACGCCTGCGGAACAAGACGGGTCATACTAGATTGCAATCCGCGACTTGTTGTGCTTTGCGTACCATGCATGCATATTCTCACGTCAGCATCTCCACTATCTCTACCATCTCCACCATCCCCGCCATCACCGCCCCGACTAGAACTACCGTCACCAGCCGCATCGGCAAACACCATCATCGCCACCATCGCCACCATCGCCACATATCGCCCATCGGCACCATCGCTGCCATCCACCATCACGCCATCGCCAACAGCAGAATTGAGATCATGGTGCTTCGTCGTGCGGTTAGGCGCCAACACCCTTCTTACGCACTGTTGTGATTCTGCCTCCAGCATAAACTCTAACCCCAGTTCCAAGTGGTTACCTGGTGTTGCCCAGGGAGATCCTCTCGGACAAGCACGGTGCTCTTTGGGCAGGCGAGCACGTTGGGTTGAACATACACCATGGCATAGAAGTTTTGGGGTAGGGTGTAAGGATTTACGCACGGCTTTGGGGTCAAGGGCCGCTGGAGTACACTTCATACTACGGTTGATGGACTGGTGGGTCATTCACATGATCCTCACACTGTGACAGTCTTGTTGGGAGTGTCAACTTGACGCTGGCCTTCGCAATTGCACGGGCCTATAGATTGCGAAGCCCTAGCACCAAAAGCCCTAAAGTCCGATGAACCGTCTGCAAGGGCTCGTGTACTCGGGGATCTGCGTTTGGCCGGTCACCCCGACCCGACGGATCATCAATTCCTGCAGCCCGCGTCTTGCGATAGTTGCTGCATTCGACTGAGTAAGCATCCCATGGGCCGTGATCGTGGAGGCATGGCTGCACTACAATCCATCTTATCTCGGCCGCTACTGTCTTTTTCAGCAACTGCCGTGAAGAGTGTTGGCCTGTCAGTATGATACTTCACATCCCCTCTTTCCTGACCACAAAATGCCCCAAAGCTCTCAAGCATGCTGTATAGAATGCCTGGAGAGCCCTCATCGAGTGCGTATTAAATCCCAAACCCCCAACACCACGAGCCCTCACCTTTGTCCAAATCCTACGAACATGCGGTCTTCGCTTCCGTGGCAATGTCGCTGTGAGGTGCGCAGGTCCAGGTGGAGTTTGACAGGGGCGATGTGCATTGCACAAAGGAGGCAGCTTTTTTTCAGAAGGGCGGGCGGGCATTTTGTTTTAGGTTCTTGTGGGGTGTGGCGTAGGGCTCAGTTTGGTTTGGGGTTTTGTGTGAGCGTGTAGGGTCTAGGCACTGAGTAGCCTTCCCAGTTCCTCAGCCTCCGAGGCCGAAGCCCCACAACAGCTCCACGCTGGTGCCAAGCGATACAAGACTCAACAGACTCTTCCCACCAGCCTCAACGCCCTGAAAGCCGAAGCTCTAAAAAAGTAAGCCCTGCCAGCCTGAATCCTCGATCCTCTACGCCTAAGTGAGCCATGTCCAGGATCCACGGGTCAAGCGTCACTCGGCTGCAACGGGAGACCGGATACAGCAAGTAGGAAGAGGGAGGATGAAGGATTAGGGGCCGAGGGTGGAACCGACAAAACTACATCGGCTGACGCTGCAAGCTTTTTGATAACACCTTGACGCGCCTAAACCTAATTCGCAAAATTCGAAGCGCCCGGTCCCTCTCACGTGTGGTGTTCCGACTTGAAACCAAGAACCTCAACGCTCCAAGTCTTCAACACCGAGCGCCGGAGTCCACTCCTTCCGGGAATCGCCCTACATCCAAGCTCCCAGAAATCAGCATTTGTCCTGCTTTCAGAACTCACCGGCAAAGAAGATCGGGAAGATGAAAAGGAAGAGGTTCTGCAACAGAAGGCGGGGCAAATCTAGGCTCGGGGCTGTAACGGCTTTCGGGAGGCTCGGTCGAGATCAGAGGGTTAGAGGTTCAGAGCTCAGGGCTTTGAGAATTTCGGCTTGTCGGGTGTCCTAGTATTCACATGTACGGTTTGCGGGCCGAAACACTTTCGGCCCCAAACACTTAGCACCGTCGGCCACCTTCGTCCCGAAAGATCCAAAGCATCAACTTTTTAAAGATGGATCTCCATCCGAGCATAAAATCCCACAGCAACCAAGAGGTAAAGCAGGGATGGGTTTTTGTGGTTCAACATTTAGTGTTTCGGGTCTAGGTTTCCGAGCTCAAGAAGCTGTGAGTTGGGAGTTTTTGTGTGTCGAGACTTTGTTTGGTGGTATTCGGAGCCGGCAACGGGATCAACGGGACCTCAAGTTAGACACATGACCCAGAAGGCTAAGTCGCTTAAGTCCTACAGCTTGTGCCGAAACCCATAGATGTTGCCTCCAGCCTGAGTTTGCAAACTGTAAATCTAGAGCTCATTGACGCCTTCGGCAGGTGATTGTGAACCTTGACCCCGTCGACCTCATCCGAGTGCAGGTGCTGCTTCGGGCCCTTTGGGTTAAGGGCTTCGGGCGACAACCCAGAGCTGTTCCTCGATCTAGGAAGTTGGAACGTGGTCAAGGGTCGATTCATGCTGTCATTCCAAATGCTTTACTGAAGCGCGTGAGGATATTGAGCCAAGGCTTGCCGCAGGCTGAGCCTCTTCAGGCCATCATGTCAGATCGCACCAGTCCTCACAATTACCAGCTGTTGATGCTCATACGGTGGGGTTATTCTGATGATGCTTGTATCACTGTCTGTTGATGTTTGGAACCTGAACCCTCATAAGAACTTAGGGTTCGGGAAGCGTTGGTGTCTATGGTTCGCTGGTCCCCCCCACTACAGGCAGAGGAGATCTTCACGGAGGAAAAGTTCCGCCAGTGGTTGAATGCCAAGGACCGACGGCATGCCCGAATCAATCCCAAAGCACCATTTCGCAACAACGGAAACCTTGTGTCTAAACGTCTGCGACTCTTCAGACAATGCTGTGCCACATCCTGAATGCTAAATTTCAAAGCCAAACGCCCTCAGGCCCTGCAGCCGTCGTCGTCCTCGTATTTGTCCTAATCGTAACTGTATTCGGCTTGTGAAGCAGACAAGACAACTGGATGACAGTGGGCTCCGCTCGTCCGTGAACGTTGCTGCCCAGGTCCCCACACTGGTAGTTGCTGATGATCATCTCTCTTCATTGAGCTGTTGTACTCTATTGATGCGGTCTCATTGGATTCTGAAGCTTTGCGAGACAGATGAGCTGCCTCAGATGAGATCGGACTTGCAAGCCCTGGCAGGTGGACAAGAGGAAGGTGGACGACAAGGGGGATCCGCTTATGCCGCAGCCAGTGCAATCGGCTTGACCGACATAGGAAAGGGTGCACGGGAGGAGCAGTAGCAGCAGTAGTTGAAGACGAAGAGCACCAGCCGTCGCAGTAGCTTGAGTAGCATAGGGCTAGTCAGACCAGTCATGGGCCAGCAAGCCCTGAACACATGAACATCGGAAGAGTTTCACGCCTCGGGAACCGGCGCAATTTCGGCGCAAAGTCGCCGAGGGTTCCCTCAAGCCGTCCGTTTAGGGTGTGGCGTGCCGAGCCCTTAAACCCTAAATTGGCATCCGGCAACTGTGCATAGAGGTGTTTTCGAGACCTGAGCCGATCAGGCTAAAATCAGGAGGACTGGAAAGTCATCTCTCAAAGAGCACGTCTGCTCGTTTTCCAGGTCTTCAGCGGGGGATGATCTAAGCCTTCTCTCTGCTTGCCTGCCTGCATAGATGGAGCCCTTCGGATGTAGGGAAAGACTGAAGGATGACTGTACATCCAGCACGTACCAAGTCATGTGCCGTGGCCTTGACGGCGAACATCTGCGGCCGACGATGGAGCCAGAACGGTGCTGCTTGCTTGTTTATTCTCATGCTGGCATCTTCGTTCCTGCGGTCCTGCATGCATGCATTGAAGCGAGACAGAGCACTTCCTTTTGTTTCATGTCGCAGCCATCAATCGAGGTTCATAACCTTCAGACCACTTTAGGATTTGGTGTCTCAGGGTTCAGAGTTCCATTTGCGTTTTGTCTGAGGGTCTGAGGGTCAAGTGCTTCAGATAAAGTTACCCGGTCCCCCAGTGGTACCCTTACACCCTGCTATTTTGGCTCCTCCTGAGTACAGCTGAACAGTGGAGAAAGGTATCCTCAGTCCTCATTGTTATAACGGCTAGGAGGGGCTGGCGAGTTGGGGTTTAGTTTTTGACTTTGGGGATTAACTCAACCACAAACTTTCTCCTAAACCCCAACTCCGGAACCCACACCCTAAATCGCAAAATCCTAGATCGCAACTGTTTTTGCAGTTGGTACCCGAATTAGACTTGAAGCCTCAGCCCGAGCAGCTCCCTCGAGTGTGCTGCCAGCATCGACGACGAGGATGGCACACTCCACCAGGTGTAATGAAGGTGGACATGTTTCCGGTCCTTATCGACGCCACATGCCATGAGAAACACCCAAACTTCGGCGACCGTCGATGCCAAGCATGACTGCTATCTTCACGAATTCTGGTTCAAGACCCTTCCAGCGGCAAGTACCGCAATCTCACGCGGCATGGCCTCCATCTAAGAAGGAATCTGTTGCCATGCACACCGCCCAAGGAGGATACATCATACGCTTTCCCCAAGCCCCAGATCCGATTCGCTACGATACTAAAATGCCCGAAGCTCTCAGTAGGAGTCGATGGTATTGGGAACGTCACAAATCTCGAGCAGTCCTGGCCTCATAGCCGCAACGGTCCGCCGCCCCCGATGACAGCAGAGACTCGGCCAATGGTGATTTCTGATCAGAGCTTCTCGAAACTTTCCGTTTGGCTAGGGCTAGCGTTTTGAGGGTCTGGTGGAAGGGCTTGAGGCAGAGTTAAAGTTCGCCTTCAGGAGCCATCATGTGTGGCAAGGGTTTGCGATCGAGGAGCTTCCAGGGCTTTGGAGTTGGCGTTGCTTCGGGCATCCTAAACCCTACGCCCTGGACCCTAAGTCCCAAACTCCAGTTCCAAACCTGCCACCCAGAGCCCAGAACCCTTCATCCGAAGCAAACCTGACTAACCCAAGGACCCTCGCTCTCCTGGAAGTGCCACGACTTGAAGCCCCAAAAGTATTGAACCTTTGAAAACTGGCCACGCCACTAAACCCTGCAGCCCTACACCCTACACCTATGTGCCGTAAAGCCTTAACCCATAACCCCAAAGATTCAACCACTGAGCCCTCCAACTCATCAATAAGCCCTATAAGCCCTGGAATCGACAAGCCCTCGGAGTCCAAAACGACCCAGAAGCCCCAAGTCCTCGCTCGGCTACTCGCAAATATCTTCTCCTGGACCCTTGATGCCTCGAACCGAGGCGCTGCCCAGACCCTCGCATCGCCGGGCGCAGGCACCGCAGCTGTGCCGGGCATTTCCTGACGCCTCATAGGGTTTCAGGGTCAATAAGCAGAGTTTGGGGTTTTACGTCGTTTAGACTTACAGACCTCCCAAAGAATTTCAGGGCTTTGGATTTACGTCCGGGTTGGGTGGTTCTTGGAGTTTGGGGGGTTTAGGGATTAGCGGATGGAACTAGCTGTTCAGGGCTTGTAAGGGCTCATAGGGAATTGGCATTGATGAGGCAGTCTGCAAGGACCAGGGTTCAGTGTTCAGGGCTTTTGCTGTCCGTTGTGACTCCTCGCAGTCTTGGTAGTAGTAAGTAGTTTTATCGGGTGTCATCGGGTGTCTAGTTTTATGTTTTTGGAACACTTCGCAAACCAACAATTACTTGATTCCGCACCTCAGGGTTCTTTGGGGATCCGATCCTGCACGAGGCCAGGGGTAAAACTGCCCGGTCTTGCTGGGGAGGCTCCCGGCGATGCTGTGGGTGCAGAGGCCGTCATCGAGGAGGCGGGAAGTGAGGATGATAAGACGAACCCCGACCCCAAACTCCACAAACAGTGCCGCCAAAATATGCCCGGATCCTGAGCTCTGCACACAAAGAGCTAAGCTCTCAACAAGGCAGACTCGCAGCAGGTGAAACACCAATGTGCGCAAGCCCCAAAGCCTAAAGCCCAAAGCTGCAAACCTGAACCAGCCCAGCACGCGAAGGCTCTAGATCCTAAGCCCCGAAAGATCACGTCTGTAGTGAACCCAATGGTAGCCGCGGTTCTGTTTTGCTCATTTATGTGCTTATTTGCTGTTTATGTATTTAGTGTACTTACGTGTTTATGTATTTGTCTTTTGAATGGACTTATTCATGTTAGTTCGCTGTCGCTCTCTCTCTCTCTCTCGATCTGTGTTTCTATACTAAAGTACTTGTTCTCATCATTTACGCTCGTGGCACCGAGGTTCAGTGCCTTGGGGTTTGGACTTCTCCGGCGTCAAGGGTCTCAGGCTTTAGGAGGTTGCAAATAGATGAATACATACATACATAGACATGGATAAAGATGTACAGATTTAGATTTGGTCGTCGATGTAGATATTGACAAAGACATAGATATAGATACAGATCTACAGATAAAACGGAAATAGCAATAAAACCGGAAACAGCAATGGCCATTTAACTAGGGCTAGACATAGCACCAGGGACACAGAGAGAGAGAGAGAGACATGTACGTATATTAGTATACATGCAGATATGTATATATGTGTATATGTATACATGTTTATACGTACATGTGTACACATGTACAGATGTATATACGTATATAGTTATATATGTGTATATGTATATATGGATGTGTATATGTATATATGTACATATGTATCTGTGTTTATATGTATATATGTGTATACGCATATATATATATATAAGTATATAAGTATATAAGTATATACGGATATATTGTATATATGTATATGTGCATATCTGTATATCTGTATATATATATATATATTCCGATATAGAACACAAACATATATGTATATATGCATATAAGCATATATGTATATGGTTATCTCCCAGGATCCACACCCGCTGTGTTCCACTTTCTGACACAAAAGGAGACATCTCGGATCTAACTTCTCCATGCGCAGAAACTGCTGTGAATACTAGTCAAACAGCTTCTCTGTAGAACAGCTTGTTTCTCCATCTCATGTTTTCAAGCTCGTTACATCGAGCATTTTGCGGTCTGGTTCCGAAAAACGTCAAAAGTAGAATCAAAGATGAAAGAGCAGAACCGAGCTTGTGTGGTTGCGAAAAGAGCGTAATGGAATGTATGACAAACGACAGTGCAGTACCATGCTTTGAAGGCAAAATCTAGGGACAGTGTAGCACTTTTCAGGCCACAGTGCCCTAACATGTTGTAGCGTCCATACCATTTCGAAGTAGGGATAGCGCAGCAGTTTTGAGTTCCCGAACTGCCCTCTCTGAGCCGGAAACGCTGTGCTGTCTGTCATTAAAAACATAAAAACCCTATTCTCGATCAACCTTCAAGGTCTCAGGCGAGCAGGTGTTTTTTAGGGAGCAGTTTGGAGGCTCCAGTGCCCCAAAGTGCTGCATTGTCTCCTAAAGTCGGGCCCAGGATAGGCAAAATTTAAGGAGATCACACCACTTTGAAGCCATAGTGTGTTGTTCCAACAACGATTACCTGGTATAGCTGTGCGGAGAAGTATCACAAACGCGCTCCTGCGGATTGTGGCGAATGTCATGAGTCTAGTCTTCTGGCTGCAGCCGCGAATGCTGCAGCAAAGACTGCTGGATGTGGATGATTCAGTTGCAGCACGAACATGATCCCGTATTGTGTCGTGGTGTCCCTTCCGAATACAGTAGTTTGGGATGGAGACCACGGTCTTGGACTGTTCACGATTGGAGCGTACATGGCGTCGGCGCAAAATGTGTCTTCCATGCGAAATGGACACGACAAGTCGTTTCTTTTGACAAGAAATAAGGGGAGTCAACACAATAACGGAGTTGTCCACTCGGTTGCTAAGAGATGGTGCAGCATCATTTAGCCGTTTAGAGAGGACGTGAGCGCGCTTTTGTTTCTGCACGGAGAACCGGAATGCTGGACTCTGTTATTGCTGACTAAGAAGTACACAAGGTTTCTTATTTCGTGTTCAACAGAAAGGAGGAGCCCTCTGACATTTGATATAGCATAATTATCTCGTACTCCTCTTTTCAACCAGGAAGCTGTTACTTCGGCAAATAGAAACAAGAGAAGACTTCTTCGTCCCTTGACCACGAATGAGAATGAAAGCATGGCAGCTTTCTTTCTTTTGACAAGCAAGAACCTTTCAAACAGGACCAAGGAAGCTCCTGTGTGACAGATAAAGACCTTCGAACAAATTGGCCATACAGGTCAACTCTCTTAGGCTCGCTGCTTGTTGTCCAAGAAAAGACAAGGTCCCTTTGTCACATGAAGCGGTACAGCATGTTTTGTTTCCATGAAAACTTCAAACACATGCGTGAGTTTGTTTTCTACTACCAGCTGGGGGATCGATCAGGGCAATATCTCACAACTCGGTGAAGAAATAGAGGTCTTTCAATTTCCCCTCGCACTCGCACGAGTATAAAGGTCGTGAACCTTATTTTGATTTTTGTCACGTGATGGAGACGCTGCTGTTGAAAGATGGAAAAGTAAGACAAAAAAAGGGTCAGGCGCAGATCTTGGGAGGGGGGTGAGCATACAGAAAGAAATCTTACACATATGTGTATATATATATATATACACATGTACACACATACATACGCACACACGCACACACACCCATCCACGTATCCACACCTGCACATTTGAGGTTGAGGCCCTGGAGGAGGCCTTGCAACAAACGGTCTCGGTGCTCAGATTTTGTTTTGGGGAAGGGAAGTTGTGGGCCCCAGCGAACTCCAAAGAGGGGTGCTGTGATTTAGAGGTTGAAGTGTGCGGGTTGCTTGGGGGATTGAGGCCTCTGGCTCGCTGGCCTCCTCGTCGAACTTCTCGTGTAGAACACTTCTTGAATCTGCGGTGCAATATGCAGGTCTTGAAAAGCACGAAAAACATGCAGAGCAATAGCCGTGTGAGCGGACGAGTACACGAGCTTCGAGCTGCAGATTTCTAGCTTGAAGCGATGGCAGGGTCCGGCTTCGGGTCTTTACGGCACCGCGAAATCGAGCGGCGTCGAATCTAAGACATGGCGCACACTTCCTGCAGAATCCCCTATTTGGCCAAAGTCAGCGGTTGCAAGTCCAAGGGCCAACAAACCCTTCAACAGCCTTTTGTCGACTCTTAAGTTTTGAGCGACTTACTTCCAATCTGGGCGCACTCGACTTTGCGTCACTCACTAACATCCCCTTTTCTCCCTAAACCTTATAAAGCCCCAACAGCCTGACCACAAGACCTTTGCAGTCACAAGGAAGTCTCGAACCGCCTTTGATGCCCAGGTGACGCGACAGCGAGCGCCAGGCCCGCTTGTGAAGTGGGGCAGCGTTTGGGTCCTGGTACAACAGGCAGCTGAATCCTTTCTACACTTATTCCGTCGAACTCTTAATATGATTATTGTTATTATCATTCTCATTATTATTAGTATTAATACTATATATATATATATATATTATATATATATATATTATAGATATAATATACATAGAGACAGACACCGCATATATGTACATGTATACAGATGCACATGCACATAGGTGCACGTCTGCGCCGATCGGTCGGTGGGCAGGTAGGTAGACAGGTAGGCAGGCAGGGGCAGAAGGTTCTCAAATTTTCAGCCCTGTAACTCTTTACCCTTGGCTCCACTGTCGGGCGTAGAAGGTATTGCGGGTCCAACACTCTAGTCCCTCGATCCTGAACCATCAGAGGTGCCGGAAAGTATGATGCTGCCGTGGCGACCTATGGCGTGCAGCTGAGGGCGTGGGTTGATATGCAGGCGCGCCTTCTGGGATGGCGGGTTCGAAGTTTGGGCTCCTGGTTTAGGGATGTTTAGGGTCTTGAAGTTTGCAGCGTCAGGTTCAGGTACAGCTGTTAAGAGCTTTGATTTCGGGTTTAGCTGTTCAGAGATTTGGGTTGAACGGACAAGGGATTGAGTCGAGGGATGAAAGGAGAGTGGGTCTTTAGCTCGAGGGCTCTTTCAGAATGCTTTTTGTGGCGGTTACGACACAACTTTTATCGCAACTCGCAGACTCGAATCCACCCCAAGCTGTAAGCTTCAAGCCCCACGCCTTGTCGCCCATGCCCTACTTCTCCCAGAGAGGTGGACGCGCGGCTCGGGCAGCTGTTGCCGAACTTCCTAGAAGGTGCCCGAGCCGCAGAGTAGCTGTCGCAACAATCACTGTTCTTGCAAGATGAAGATGACCAGCCTTGAAGCTTGATATATGATCGCAATCATGCTGATGACGATGATCATGCTGATGACGAGTGGACGATGACGACGAGGCTGACGTTAATGTTTGAGTTGGCGCCGGTGCTGCTACCGCTGCTGCTGGCGGTGGGGGCAGCCCTGAGCTCTTCCTCACCCGCACCCCCCAACTATTTCAGCCCTTAGCCACAAGCCCTGGAGCCCTGAGGTGAGCTTGAGTCCCTTCGTTCCGAAATCGTGGCATCGCAGGATGTGCCGTGGCTCTTCAACAAGTGATTGACTAGCTTGCACTGATGTATACTTTCCGTTGTGGGTTGGTAGAGCTACCAATGCAGAAGTAGATGTTGGAGGCTTTCGATTTCAGTTCCTTGGATCTTTCACAAGGAGCCCATGAAAACATGCCAAGCAAGGGATTGTGTTCCGGACATATCAGAGTCTCTGTGCCGAGGTCGCAGCCCAGGCGGGGCATACCTCCGCAGCCAGGCTGGAGGCTTGCTGCGGGTTGAGCTTCCATGGGCTCTTGGTATTTGCTAGCGCAGGGCAGTACCTTCGGAGTTGTCAGTAGGGCATTTACGAGACAAGGAGTTTGGATGCTTGGGGTCCTGTGCTTGCTCGAGTTTCTGGCAAGGCCCTCAAGCGGAAACCTTAAAAACCCTAAAAGCTTCGGGCCAACGGAGCCTTCAGCGCGCAGGCTTCGCAGGCAGATGTTTGGAAGAGGTATCAGGGTTTGGAAAAATCATCAGGGTTAGAGAGATCAGTTCGGGGTGTCAGGATTTATGAACCCGAAGCCGTGAGCCCCAGACCGACCCTACGAGCTGAGCCAGGGGGAGCTAGGAGCGGTGGCCGATGCCCAGGCAGGAGCAGCAAACGCAGTGCAGCAGTTCAGGGTTTAGCCACTTTGGTCTGGTAAAGACGAGGAATGATGTTGGGCTGCAGGCTTTCAGCTGTCCAGTCACCATTAAGCAGCTTCTTCTGAATCAGAAGGACGGTATCTTGACAGAGATTCTCTCAGCAGTACTCGTAGCCTACTCGTAGCGACAACGCAAGAATCAGAGTCACAGTCAAGCCTCGGCTTTTTGTCAGCGTTCCGGGTGATGGGTTTCGGGTTTGGACTCTACTTGGATGGGCCGGGGGGTTGCT